GGGTCACCGGACCCGAAACGTTAACTCTGTTTTCTCCTTTACAGATGCTGCCAGACCTGCTGAGCTTTTCCAGCAACTTTGTATTTGTTCCTGATTTACAGTATCCGCAGTTCTTTTGGGTTTTTTTAGTAGGTAAAAATGGGTTGTTTGTAATAACAGACTGTGATAAGAGGGTAGAATATTGATGGGGGACGAAGTAAATGGGCAGCTGTTACACCTTCTACAGTTGCAGGGAAAGGTTCTGTGAGGGTAGTGGGGGGCGGCGCTATTGGGAGTGAAGGAACAGTGGATCAGGGTGTTCTGGACGGAACGGTCCCTGTGGAAGGCAGATAAGGGAGGGGAATTTGTGTCTGATGGTGACATCTTGCTGGAAATGGGCAGCTAATGAACATCTGGAGGTGAATGCTAGTGGGGTGATAGGTAAGGACAAAGGGAATGCCATCCCAGTTACAGAACGGAAGAAAAGGGGTTGGGGCTGAACTGCCAGTGATGGCTTGGACCCAGTTGAGAGCCCCGTCAATAATGGTCCTGAGGAATCTTTGGTTGAGGAAGAAGGTGGACATTTCGGAGGCTCCTCTGCCGCAGCTGGCATCGTTGGAACAGATGAGATGGAGGAGAATGGAATAGTTTTTACATCCTTACACCCTGTTTCCTGTATAGTTAAGGTAACTGTGGGAGTTAGTGGGTTTATTGTGGATATTGGTGGCTAGCCTATTGCCAGAAATGGAAACAGATGTTGAGGAAGGGAGGAGTCAAATGGGCTGGGTGAAATTGAGGGCAGGTTGGAAATCAGAAGCGAAATTGATAAATGTTTCTATCTCTGAACAAGAAAGGGAAGTGTTATTGATATATTGGGGAAAGATTTGTGACTGGGGGCTGGCATAAGACTGGTACAAGGAATGTTCTCTGTACCCTACAGAGATAGGAAGGGGCCCATTCAGGTACCTGTGGCCATCCTTCTGACCTGAAGAAAATGAGTTCAGAGTTGCTCAAGGTGAGGACAAGCTGGGCCAGGCGGATGGGGACTGTTCACGCCCTTCCAGGAAGAAGGGGAGATCCCTGATACCATCCTTGTGCAGAATGGAAATGTAATGGGATTGCACATCCATGGTAATGGAGTTGGCTGGAGCCTGCAAACTGGAAATCCAGAAACTTGGGGGAGGGGAGGGAAAGAGCCAGAAAGAGAGAACCAAATGAAATGAGGTTGGTGACCATGCTTGATATAATGGCTTGATGTTCTGTGGTGGGGTCAT